AAGCCTGAAACTCTGAAACTGTTAGATGAAAACATTGGCAATTACCTACAAGATATAGGTGTAGGAAAGGATTTTCTAATCCAGACAATAAATGCTCAGGAAACAAGATCAAAAATCAACAAAAGGGACTTCATTAAACTAAAAAGCTTCTGTACATCAAAAGAAACAATCAAAAAAGTGAAGAGAAAACCCACAGAATAGGAAAAAATCTTCACCAGTGACACATCTAATGGAGGTTTAATATCCAGAATATATAACAAACTCAAAAAACAAAGAATCAAGAAAGAAAGTCTCCCAAATAAAAGATGGGCTAAGGAGCTGAGAGAGTTGTCAAAAGAAGAAATAAAGATGGCTAAGAAGCATCTTAAAAGATGTTCAACATCACTAGTAATTAGGGAAATGCAAATTAAAACCACTTGAAGATTTCATCTTACCCAAACCAGACTGGCTGATATCAAGAGAACAAATGATACCAAATGCTGGAGAGGATGTGGGGAAAGGGGAACACTCATCCACTGCTAGTGGGACTGCAAATTTGTTCAACCCCTGTGGAAAGCAGTATGGAGAACACTTTAAAAACTACAAATGAATCTACCATTTGACCCAGTTATACCACTCTTTAGCATATACCCAAAGAACTCATCCTATTGCAGAGAAACTTGTACATCCATGTTTATTGCTTATCTTTTCACAATAGCTAAGATATGGAAGCAACCTAAGTATCCCTCAACTGATGAGTGGATGATGACAATGTGGTTCATTTGTATAATGGAGTTTTACTCAGCAAGAAAGAAAGTTGAAGTCATGAAATTTACAGGTAAATGGATGGAACTAGAAACTGTTATACTAAGTGAAGCAACACAGACTCAGAAAAACAAACAAACAAACAACAACAAAAAACAATGTACGTTCTCCATTATATGTGGGTCCTAGCACCAAATACTTATGAGTGAGTGTTTATGCAAACAAAGCTACAGGAACCAGGATAATGAAAGAAACAGGTAAGTAAAGGAAAAGAAAGAACCTGAAAGAGAAGAACAGTAGGAAACAGGCACTAATTAGGGAGATATGGATAAAAATGGGGTTAGTTTAAGGAGGGGGGGAGAGGGAGGTTTATACAAGGAACCTTGGGGATAAAGGGAAAGAAGGAGCTCAAGAGAGACGGGACCATAGGAGAAGGGTATTATTAAGGGAGAAATGGGAAAAATGGGGGCACCTTAATTGGGGAAACCATGGTGGAAGGATTAGACAATGTGAGAGACAAATAATGTCTAGCTAGTTTTAAAAAACTTACTGACAAATTATACATACAACTGGCTCAAGAAAATAATACATGTCTAGGCGAGGTTTATCTGAGAATGTTTGGTCTTTGCCCAAACTTTATCTACATGGTACATGGTAATTAAAAGTACCAGACTGCTGGAACTAACCTTCTTGGATGTTTAATAGCCATACTTTACAGTATAGACTAATTTGGTCAGAGGGTCATAAAGGACAATTTTTTCTCCTTTCCCTCCTAGGTTGACTAAGTTCCAGAGGACGTAAGAGCATCTCTCAAAATGTCCTGTAACTGTGGTGAGTCACCTGTCCTCTTGATCAAGGAGGCCGTGGAGACCCCATCAAATGGATTTGAACCAGAGTCCAGTCTACAAAGAGGACGGTGAACACAGAGGAAACATTTCCTCCATGCTTCCAAGTGAAGCTAGCTGTGGTCGAGCAGGATCTTTGTCTTATCTGCACATAGATGGAACAGGTAGAAAAAGCAGTCAAGGGCTCTTCCCAAGCCCATGTGATGCCTGAGGAACAGATCTTCAAATGGCCTTAAGAGTAAAACTAAATTGATTTATTTGGGCCAACTGTATGGTCTTAAACACCCAAAAGGAAAGTATAACCAAAGATTAAAGGGGTCAGTATAAATGTCCATGTGTATAGCTAAAGGCTACATAACAAGGAACAATGCCAGACAGGAGATACCTTCCTTTGAGTTGTTGGCCAGGGTGTCCCAAGAGACTCCCAGACAGTAACTCATTATAGAACTGGGAAAATGAACAGCAGACCCCAATCTTATCTAAAGGAATATTGACAACTGATTGCTGCTAGATGAGGAAGAGCTGATCTTCCTAAAACAAGGATCTCTAGATAGGCTGACTAGATTCAGCAGATGGAATGGCTGGGGGCGCTGAGCACACAGTGGACAGTAACAGGGATGACAGAGTGTATGGGCTCCAGTGAGGTGGGGAGAGACTATGGGAGGGTGCCATTTGGGAAGTGGGTATATAGATGAATAAGATTGTTTGGGATGTTCTATATGAAATACATACAAAAAAATCAACAAATTTTAAAAAATGAGATATATTTGAGGAAGAAGCATAAAAATTTGCTCCATGTTAATTAGTAGAGGAGTGCTCTGCAGGGGACTTAAGGGGGAAGTTTAGGGTGACAGCTGGGTGTCATGAAGTGAAAATGGGTCTTCAAGTGATATTACAAAGAAAGACTCCACAATGGCCTCCTCATTAATCACAAGATTAAAAGTTAAAGAACACAGATCTAAAGCTGCTTCCTGGCTCCGAGGGGAAAATTCATCCCAGCTTAGCAAAGGAAAAAGGAGCAGAAAGGCGTTTACTATTTTCAGCATTTTGTAAATAGTTCGGGGTCACTCAATGGGAAAGGAGGAGGGTTGCCAAGGAATCAGTGGGGCCTGTGCCAGGAGTGCCACTCCTTAGGACACAGGAAGTCCTGGGAAGGTTTCTGCCACTGGAAAGGGAACACGGTAGGTAAGAAATTGCATGGCTCACACATGGAAAACCTTGGAGCCTCTTTTCTTGTTTCTATCCATCTTCCTAGACAGCAGTAATAAGCTCACATTCTAGATAGAGTTGGGCCAGTCCAATTGGGTAGTATGGAACTTACATAGCTAAAGGTGGCCCAGGGAGCAACCCCATTAGGGCAACTTGCTTTTCAAGGTTATTAGACTCTGGAAACTCATAGGCATCACTTCCTCTTAAAATTGCAGGGAGCCCTACATGATCATCCTTATTCGCATTTTTGAACCATTTTATTTAAGTCCTTGTATGTTTGATGCCTGTTGGCACATTCTCGCTTTGACCTCTTAAGAAGAGGCAGCTTACAATAGGACCGAGGTAAGCTGTAAATTAGGTGTCTTGGAAAGACGTGAAGCAGCCCTAGGCTGACTCTCATATAATGAGGGGGAAGACATTGGGGATGGCTTTGACTGGAAGGAGTTGAGCACAAGCTTGGAGGGTCAATTACAGGAAAGGGAGCAGATGCAGAACTTGGAGTTGGCAGGAGGCCATGACTCTGAATATTGATTGGATTCTACCTCATACAGTAAACACTCAGCATCCTCCGGTTCCACATCTGCAGATATGATCAGCCTCAGATCAAAAATATTTGAAAAAAATAGCATCTGTTCTGAACACGTACAGACTTCTCATTATTCCCTAAACAGTTCTTTGTCACTTCATATTAGCAGTGAGCAGTAATCTAGAGATGATTTAAAGTGTGCGGGGATGTACACAGTTTGATGCACATACTGTGCCACTTCACATAAGAGACTTGAGCATCTCGGGATTTGGGTGTCCTGCAGGGTCCTGGAGGCAATCTTTTGTGGATGTTGGAGGCTGAGTACACTTGACGTTTGCAGCATGACGTGCTTAAAAACATATTGGCAACAGGCTATGGCCTCAATCTCAAACACCCAAGGTTTCTTAAAATCAAGGCATAAAAGGAGGTAACGTTCATCTGAAGAATTCCAACATTAGATCTGTATAACTGATACACCTCAGATTTTGGGAAAACTCTTTAAAATTCTGAGTCTTGAGCTGGGGTTGCTGCTCGTTGGTAGAGCACTTGCCAAATTCATACAGTCTAAACGTCAATAGCTTCCAGGTCTGACAGATTTCAGCAGCATTAAATTCAATTACACAAATAAAGACAAATCTTGTCACATATCCTTTAATGGAAGTGGTTGGTTATTTTCTTGGGGACCTGGGTTCAGCCCCCAGTACCACACATCAAAGCAAAACTGAGTCTTTTTCCAACTTTTGTTGAGTAGAGTAACTTCGATGCCAGCACCTTTTCAAGGCTATGGGAAAAGAATGTAGCTCTACACAACTTCAGCAGTAACATTAAGGGCCCAACATAGCTACGTAAAATCCCGAGAGCCGCACCAGAGTGTTTCCTTGCATTCTTCTTAAACACCACACAACAGAAAGTTAGTACTACTGGGTACCCACAAATCCTTTTGTAAAAATCACTATCGAAATATGTTTAAACCATCTTTCTTTGGCTCTTTTCCTTTCCAGTGTTTTTCTTTCATGTATTCTATACTCACAACAAAAAAAAATTCTATTTTAAAATAACTGAGATGTTATGACTAAAAATGCCAGAGGTATATATCTGCAAAAAATTGCTTTCTAAAGAGGAGCTAGCTTTATCTCGTGTGGAAGAAGGCAACATTCCTACAAATATTAGAGTTGAACCAAGAAAATAATCAACTACTTTCATTAAAAGAGTGTATGTGACAAGATTTGTATCTGTTCATGTGACTGAATTTAATGCTGCCAAAATCTGCCAGACCTGAAAGCTCCTGAAGGTTAGACCACACTTTTTACACTGAGGAAAACGAAGAAGTTTTCTGCTGACCTTGGAAGAATCATGAGTTCATGAATGAGAACGTATACACTGCCTAGCAACAAGCAGCGCCTTCGGGGGTAATTTCACCTCAGCTTGCAGGGAAGCCTGTGGGTCAGTTCACGCACTGATTGGCCTGTTTTTCACCTCACTGCTTCCCACTTGGCATCTCCTACTTAGACCCTAATAACTTTAAGATGTGGAGCCAGGCGAGCCTGCATGTCCTCCACAGTCAGGTGGCTAACTGCCTCATCATTACCTCTCATTGTCTAATTATCTTAGTGAATTTAGATTTCCTACCAAAGTTCCATCAGTATTCAAGGCACCAATGACTGGCTTTCTCTCACCTGGGTTCACCTTGGTTGATGGACATATATATCTCCCAAGAATTCTCCTCTGGGATGGCGCCATGTGGTATGAGTAAACTCACTCCTGAAACAAAAGAGGCCAAGAGGTTATTTATAAATGCCCCAATTATTTTGAAGCATATTTTGAAGGTGCTACTTGAGCACCTAACAGATGTCCACACAAAAAAGGAGTTTCTCCTGGAAATTTGTGAAATAGCAGTCATTCAGAAACTCTAACAACAACACACCCAGGGAAACTGTTGCTTTGTGATAGTGGTCTAAAGGAGAGGGTATCCGCATTCATTTTCTTTTTCATTTTTTTATTTGCAATCTTGCCAGCATCGTTTAGTTCTCTTAAAAGACTGAGCATCCGAAGGAGGCAAGACACTATCAAACATACCTGAGAGTATAAGACTGTCAGCCCATCAATTGATTGCTCCAAAATTCTAAAATGTATTTTCTTATCTTTTTATAAATTTTTATTATTTTTAGTTTATGTGTATGAGTATATTGCCTACATGTGTGTAAGTGCACCCATGTTGTGCAGTGTCCACAGAGGTCAGAAGAGGATGTAGAATCCTCTGGAACTGGAGTTATGGACAGTTGTTAGCCACCATGTGAATGCTGGGAATCAAATCCGGGTCCTTTGCAAGAGCAACCAATGCTCTTAACAGATGAGCCATCTCTCTAGCACCTGTTTATATTTTGATACCCACTGATTTCCAAAAAAGTGTCTGGCATGTTGGGTAAACTAGCACTTTTCTTGAACCTGGTATGAAATTATCTTATAATTTGTGGTTCTGGAAGTGTGAATTACTGCATTTTTTCAGTAGAAAAAAATATCTGATGTGTTTTGGAACATTCTAGGTTATTGTGCAATGGACAGGCATTTAAATTTTCAAACAGCAACTAGAAAGAGTTAAGGTGTATGTCAAGGTGAAATAACGGCGGGTGCTTCCATGAAACCGTGGAGCACGGGGTACAGGAAACCACTAGACATCATCTGAGATGTCCCCACTCTCCTCTCCAGGACTATGAAGAAACCTTTACTTCGGACAAAGAGAGCTGTCTAGAAAAAACTGGTATTTCCTTTCATGTAGATTTTTGTTTATAAAAAGAAATGAACCAGAGAAATATCAAGAGCTTCACAAAATACAACCTCCAAGCATCCTCCTATCTTTTGAATAAGGCAGCTCTCACCTTTCTTCCGTTTCATTAGAGTTAATCGCACAGGAAGCATTCAGGATGCTGATGACAAGCTTCCCTTTCCTTCTATGTGCCTGTTAACAGCTACAGAGTCAAGGAATGCAAGACTTATTGCGAAACAAGTCATTTGTGATTCACGTTTATGAACATTATTCAGCAACATGGTAGTTATCATCACTATCTTTCACTAGAACTAAGAATGGGGCACATTAAAATCTTGCTCACAGCTTTTCAGCAAGGAGATGCATTTATATTCTGAACCTTCACGTCAGTAGTAGGATCACTGTAATTGACGTACTTAGGGACCTCCAATCAGACACCCCTTCAATTTCGTTCCTTAAAAGGAACTGCCAAGAGAAGTTGCCTCTGTTGTGCCCCTTCCTGCTGCTGAACGTAGACTGGAACATGGGCTATGTAGAGTACTTGGATGTTGACTTGAACACAGGCTCCAGTCACCAGCCTCGGCTTAGTTTCTCATTGCACTGTCCCCCCATTGTGTTTCCGTCATACTCTCTAGGACATGATGATGACCCCCTCCCCCTGAAAAACGGAAAAAAAAACCAACAAGGAACACGGAGACCCCATCCTCCATAGACAAGCTCAGTTGACCTTCATCAAGCAACAGCGTAAGGTTACATCAACACTTAACACAGTGCCCAGCACAGAACAGAAACCCAATAAATTTATCATGACTATACATACAAACGTATGAAGAGGATTCGAAATTCTCAGTATAAAATCCAGACTGTGTGCAATGTTGTCTTGTGTAGACCACCATGGCCTGATGATCTAGTTCCAGGTCAAAAAGGAAGAGACACTGGGGCTGGAGAGATGGCTCAGTGGTTGAGAGCACTGGCTGCTCCTGCAGAGGACCCGGGTTCAATTCCCAGCACCCACATGGTGCTAACAACTGTCTGTAACTCCAGTTCCAGGGGATCTGACACCCTCTTCCGGCATTGCATCACACAGGTACACTTGTATACATGCAGTCTATACACTCATACACATAAAATAAAAATAATAAATATTTTAAAAAGGAAGATCCACACATAGGCATTTGGGAGAGGGTTATTTGTGGAGCTTATCCAACCCAATTTCTTTCAAGTCGGCTTAATTCCCTGTGTTTAGCCTGAGATATTATTCATCATATTCCTGAATTCAACTTGAACCTGCAAGCTCATTCATTGTAGCTATAACTATTTTCTCATTCTCCTTCAACCAGAAATTATATTATCATCCTTCAGACACACTTCCTTCACCCTATGCAAACAAACATGTTGCATGTGGAGGCTGATGACAGTCAACCACAGGTTTATAGGGCCAGGGGGTGGTAGTACTGATGGCCAGTTACATATTATGAAGAATGAGGCCCAGTGGGCCAGTTTCATGTCTGTGGTCTCTTAAAGAAGTGTTCATTTTCAATACGTCACTTACCAGTTATCTCTGATTAAAGAAACATACAGCCCCCAACTCCACTTGCGACTCTGGCAGCCTTTTATTTGAGATGACAACAGAGCCACCTGTCTGAGTTTTCTGCTTCATATTTTGCATAATAAATGATTTCCAGCATGCAGTGTATGACAATTTGGGGTGAATAGCGTTAGAGCAATCTAATTTCTGCACCACACTTTCCTTACACTTTAGTTCCCCAGGGGCAGGGTTTGCATTTATGTTCTGCAAATAACAGGGAATATGCTTCAGTTCCCCACACTTATTTTTCCTCAAACTCATTTGCAATGTGCAGCTCCCATCTTGTCCAGTACAGTTCACAGAGGAGCTGGGTGGGATCCCGGACAGTGAGTGCTGCCCGAGCTTTCAACGTAAGCGCTTCTCAAGAGCGGGAGGGAAAAGAAAAGTCTCTGGTTTGTCACGCTTTTATCTTCTGGTTTTCTTTGATTAACATTAAGCAAATATAGGCAATAAATGGTTTTGTCTTGACACTCCCTCAACCCATGCAAATATATGTACATATATACCACCCAGCATACACACTCCCTGGTAAATGCAAAAGAGAAGTTGGGGGAGGAGCTTCCCAGGACACTGATGTCAAAACCTACTTTCTGACAGGGGTTCTATGCTCCACTTTTCTTTTTCCAGAACCACACTTCTAATTTACAAATTCTTACAGGGCTGGGAACTGGTAAACATGGCTGACTGCTTCTTTCTACATCTTTCTACAGAGTCTCACGTCAGCTCACATACCCCCCCAGACGTAAGTCAGAATACTGTCAGTTTTCAGCTGGAAGAATCATAATATACTGATGCTGAGATGTGACACTCGCGCATATTGGAACCAAGATTCCTATCATGTCCTAAAACATTGGCCAAGGAAGATTTGGAGGAATGGAAGGTTGACAAGCATGATTTTTAGAGCTATAGTATAGGGCTAGCTTTCAGAAATATGTACATTTTGAAACACTGTGTTAAAAGACACACTGTTCTACTAGAGAACAAAGCAACATCCATCAAATTAAGAGTAAGTTCAATTTCAAATCATTCAACCAGCAGACAGGCCAGGTAAGCTGGAGATCAGTCCTGCCACATGCTTCATGCTATGAGATAGGACGGCAGTTGGCTCCACCCTCCCAGGGAAGCCTGTCAGAGCACTGGCTTCATACTCTATTCCCATGTAACAAAATGGGCACATGCAAGAGATTTGTCCCTCTCAGCCACCAACAGCTACCTTATGACTGGGTGCACTATCTAGTTCTCAAGACTCAGGACTCGGGAGACAGCCTCTGGCCTCTACTTAGGTCTTGGGCAGTAGTCCGAAAGAGCCAATGACGGCTAGGTCACAACTCTTAAGAGTGATCTTGACTGGAGAGTTGAGGTACCTCACAAAAACCTCCCTTCAAACATAAAGGAGGAAACACATACTTAGAAATTAATTATGTGTACGACACAGCCCTGGGACTGCTGTTTGAATTTCAAAGAGCAGCAACGCGTGCATCACTGCTCGCCAGGCTAGTAGCCGTGTCTATGGGCACCAAGAGCATTGATAGGTCTGTTATTGGTGAACTGTGACTGTCATCGCACTAAATTATTTACCAGTGTATAAATGTGCTTTGGATAAACATGGTACTTGCTGGTCATGTCAAAGACTTGTGTTTGTTGCTTCCTCATCGCGCTCTAGGTAACATATCCTAAAGGGGTTTAAACTAAGGAGACTAGAAAAAGGTGGCCATCAACTCTAAGGGCATCAAACACTATGTTCAGCCTACCTAACATGGAGACGGCACAGTGCCATCTTAGCACTGGTTCTGGTCTCCAAGGACATCACCAGCATCTGCAGCACTCATGGAGATGTATCCAATGAGCTAACTGCCTATATGTAAAGTATTTACAGAAACAAGGAAAATACACAAGCACACACTTACCACCCACCTGTATTTGGCATTACTAAGCGCCCCCCTGAATGGCCAAAGACACCCGTTGTCCTCAGCTCTGTCCTGGTGGGAAGTGATGACAGGTTTTGGATGTAGGGCATTTTGTTTCTGGGATGTATTGTACTAAAGCCACGGTTGTTCCCATGGGGAAAAGTCCCAGAGTGATTCTTGCCGTGGTACTCGGCTCTCTCAGACACTCCCAAGGAAACCATGAATGAGCTCTGGACTTTGACTTTGATGTCGGACAGAGGGTTGAAGAGTGAGGACTCCGTCATCAACTCCTTGTCCAGCGGATCTTGCAGGCAGATGGGCCCGCTGTATGTCCGGCTCACTGTCAGGTCTGGCTGCATGGCGGGATTCAGGAGTAGAGAGTTACCTGGTAAGAAGAAATTTATCTGTCACTCAGAAACTAAAAGGCATCTCCATTATACTTCGCAGCTGCCTCTCTTAACTGCAGAAGAACTGCCATGGGATGGGTTCCGGTTGCTCTGACTGCCCTTAGCTCTCCCTACTCTCCTCATGTAGCATCACTGCTACAATGGATTGGTCCTTAGTGACCAGTGCCTAGGGATGAGGATGTGTGGCCTTCCCAGCCCTTTCTCTGAACCCCAAGGCCCAATCCTTCACTTCCCGAAATCTTTGCATATTGCCTTTTGAAAGAAAGCATTTCTGGCACAAGGTCAGGCAACTCCCTCAGGCATTGTTTTCCTGATCGTTTTAGCTGGCAAAGAAAAGGTAAAAAATGAAAGATGTTTTGCAATGCAGCTTGGAGCAAAATAACATCTGTTCCTTTTAAATGGCAAGAGATGCCACAGTGTGGTGACAAGCAGTGCCTCCAAAGGCTGCAGAACATTCCTTGTGGAACTCTGGGCAGTTCCTGGAGCAGGGGGAGGAAGCGGTGTGCTTTGGAACAAATGGATCAGGAGCCCTCGTGAATCGTTCCATGTCTAGGGAGCCAATTTCCTTTGAACATCACGTATGTCACTCTGAGAAGGAAATCAAGCTCCACAGGGTACGGGGAGTGACTCTGATCTGATTTGGGGAGCAGCTCAGTGGCGGCTCTCTGGCTCAGAACAAATGAACAAAACAATCTTTACAAAAACATGAGAAATTGGACTTTGTCATCAGTTGCTCACCAATTTTTCCATGCCAAATATTAAAAAGAAATGCTGTGATATTTTTTCATGATGAAGCAATCCCATTTATTAGTGAATAAGAAAATAACTCCCCAACCTCCCACCCAGATCAGTCCGTCAATATGACAGCTCAAATTGAAACCCAAACCACATTAAACAATTTTCCTTTGGGGTCTGAGAAAAATATTTAAAGTATGTATTTTTGAAAATGTTGCAATTCTAGGCTGTGCTGTAGCAGCTTCCATTGTTTTTCCATTTTCATAATTTGTAATGGTGCCAGCAGGGACTCCAGCACCCTGGCTTTTTCCACCTCTTGTTCAGATGCTCTGACAGTCCAGAATCACAGAGAAAAGACACAAATGAGCTGAGCTGCTGCAACGCTAACAGCTCCTCAACGATGCTCCCTTCCCAAGCTTGGGCCTGCTCTGCTCAGAGGGAGCCACCATCAAGCAGTTCTTTTTAACAGAAACACAGAGTTCAATAGATGATGACCTTGCTCTTGTCTGTGGTCTTCCCACACAAGAAGTAGGACTGAGGAACACATCACATCTGAAAACAGTTTGAAACAAGTTTCCATGGAGACTTCAAAAACTCATATCCCCAAGTCTCCTGGCTATTTGATCACAGACCCTCAGCTTCTGAAGCTTAATTTTTGACTACTCTCAAAAAGACTCCCCTAGCTTATGAGATGAAGAAAAACAGACTATTTTTTTTCCTGTGAGTTAGACAGCACAGTGGGAAATGCCTGATTATAAATATAGGTACAAGGCCAAGGGTGTGGCTTATTGGTAGAAAACTTGCCTAGCATATATGAGATACAGGGCTCTATCTTTCACACACACACACACACAGATACACACATATGCACACACACTACACACACACACATACACAGACACATATATACACACACTATACACACATATACACTCATACACATTCATACACGGACACATATATACACACACTGCACACACATACACATACACACACATATACACTCACACACATTCATACACAGACACATATATACACACACTGCACACACACACACACACACACACACACACACACACACTCAAATGCACAGTTGAATAATATTGGCTGCTAACTTGATTGAAGCCTAATCAGGACTAGCCACCCTGCCTCTGTTGATGGCTACCTACTCTTCCCTCCCTACCTCCGTCCCTCCCTTCCATCCTCCCTCCCTCCTTCCCTCTGTCCCTCCCTCCCTCCCTCCCTTCCTCTCTTTCATCCTCCTCTCCCTCTCTTCTGTCTTTATATTTACTCACTTTGCAGGGCCAGGCATTGAACCCATGGCCTTATACATGCTGAGCTAGTACTTAATAGTGATCTATTCCACAGTCCATGGTATTTGTGATACTTTTAATTGTCATTCTAGAATCACCCGAGCAGGGACTATCTAGATCAGGTTGGCCTGTGGCTGTCTGCAAGGGACTTCATTGATTATGTTAACTGATGTGAGAAGAGCCAGCCCACTGTGGTGGCATCATTCCCTGGGTTTGGGTCTTAGACTACATAAGAGTGGAGAGAGCTGAGCATAGGCAAGCTCGCACGCATTTGCTGCTCTCTGTTACTGACTGTGGATGTGACCAGCTGCTTCCAGTTCTGGCCTTGACTTCTCTGGGATGACTGCGCTGTGACCTGGAACTGAAACCAAGGGCATCCTTTCTTCCACACGTTGTTTTCTGTCAGGTGTTTTATCATAGCAGCAGAGATGAAACCAGGGCAGCATTCCATTTAACATTCTGCCCCCTCCTGGGTACTGGTCATATTGTTCAAGAAGTGATTATTTTAAAGAAAGTGCAGGCAAAAGCCAGCTACCATCAAAGACGTGGTGCAACCTAACAGTGGATATGCGAAGAGTGGCAGTTACCAAAAGATTTTTTAATCACTAGTTTTGTGAGTCTTGGCCAAATGTAAGCAAAATGTTCAGATACTTTGGCAAGGTGTCTTGTTCTCTTAGAGATGCACAAAACTCTGAATTTCTGACGTACTCTTCTATAAGAAGGTGTGTTCAAGCTTATGTAAGCTAGTGGAGCCCAAATGTGTTTAGGCCAGGAAACCACCCACCACTCATGCCTGCTGCTGGGTGTTCCATAGAGCATGCTGGCACTCCATGATCACAGAAAACCACGACCAGCCTGAACTATATTCAGCACACTATGAGCTCGTCCCATATGCCATGGGCTTTCCCGTGCTATTCTAGGCAAATTCATTTTCACAAGAACACTGTGAGGAGGATGTAGTATCCTCATTTTATAGTTGTGAAACTGAGACTCAGAATGGCTGATTTACTAAGTTCATAGCGTTTTTAGACTCTAATATAAAGCACTTTAAAAGCTTGTAGACTTAGGCCCAAAACTGATTCTTGTATTAACATTTCTATATTTCTATGCTTGTAGTCTAAGACATAGACATTTTATTATTTGATGGACATATGTCTACTTTCTTACATATGATTAAAATCAGTTCATCATTGACTTTGGTTATCATTAAATCTTGTACATAAAAAACACTGCACCAGATGGATCGGATGTGTCCTTATTAGAGGCCTAACAATGAGGTGCACAGAAATAAAAGGCTTGGGTCCCCTAGTCATGTCTCAGTTGCTGGTTCTAGCATGTATGGTCCTCCACGTCAGCAGCCTGTCCACCCAGTAGAAGCTGAGCACAGAGACTGCTCATCCTACCCATAGGTGCTATTGACACAATGAACAGAAAGAAAGAGACAATTCAGATAATGAGGGTCAAGGCAGAAAGTTTCATCCTTTGAAGAGAGACAATTTCTTTTGCTGAAAATTCAAGAAAAGCGTGTCTCATTCCTACTTTGTATTCAGGAACAGGTTTGGCTCATACATGAGAATTAAATGACTCAGTTCTGAAAGTGACCATTGCTGTGGTTTGACATGATAGATGTTTCTTCCTCCACAAGAAAAAAATTGCCTGAACTCGGACACAGTTGAGTCGTTTAGGCTGGAGTTTCACTTTGTCCCTGGCTAACTGACCCATATTTTCTAAACTCCTTGTTACTTATTTGAAGTAGAAGAAAAATTTAAATGTAAAAGGGTATCTTGGAGGTTGTGGTCTAGACTGTCCCCTCAGCCTTCAGTAATCAGTACATTAGTTAATGAAATTAAATAGACAAACTGAAATCAGGCTTCCTAATGGAGAAAGTTGGATAATATGAGAGATGGTAACTCATTAAGCTCACTATATATTAAGGACTGAATTGCTCCTTGAAGTGATGCTAATGAGGAGTTGGGATCCAAGCAGACCATTTTGTCAAATTTGTGTCTTGATGTGTGGAAACAATTTGGTAGCGGCTCCCAGGGCCAAGAGCTGCCATCACACAGGGCTAAGAACACTGGAGTGCCTGTATGAGCACAGCTCGTGGTCCTGAGGATGAGGTGTTGGGGGACCTGTGCCGCTGACCTTGACGGACTGTTTTGAAGTTGAAGGTCTGGAAGCCACCTGTCAATGCAGAAGAGTCAATGACGTCCACGCCATAGTCACTGTGGCTCCGTCTATAGAGGGTGACACCAATGACCAGGACTGCCACGGCCACGACAGCTGCGCCCAAGCCCGAGTACAAAGCAATGTCGCTGGCATTCTCAATGCCTGAAAGACACAAGAGAAATCCTAAGTGGCCGACATGGGCACAAGGCCAGAGAGCCCCCCAGGACATAACACGAGATGTTACTGGCATTTTGGAGCTGCAGCTCAGAGGAAAGGACACAGGCAGCTAGCCACAAGTTACACTCATTCACACAGTAATCATGTTTCTAAAAATTCCTTGTGTAAATCAAAGCAAAGCTAGTCAAATATCTTAAATGTATTAAGGTAGCTTACCCTGTAATAGACTTTCAGAGAATCAATTTTACAAAGAACATAATATTTTTCTAGTAAAAACAAACAACTCCTTAACTTATTTTAAGAAGTTACATTTACCTGCAAAGTTCTTTTGTATCTTATTTTTATTTGAAGGAGAACAGACTCACAGAAATGGCAAAATAAAAATGGGCAGCTACTGTGCTCATAGGGACCTGGGGCACATGCATTTGCACAGAGCTGTCTAGGGTAAGAAACTCACATGGTCTATGAGCCAAAAGAGAAGAGATCAGAGTTCACAAATAAGTCAACTCTGGCATCAATCATACAGATTCAGAGAACACTTATAACCTTGGTTTAGTACAGACAATCATCATGAGAGAATTTTCATGTGAAACATGAACATCTTGGTTGCCAAGAGCTCTTGTATCCATGCTAAATGTTTTGTGACACCAATTAAATGCTAGACTGCAACACTTTATAGTGGAAAAGGGCTGGTCTCGAAGAGGGGACATGCTTTTCTCCCATACCTCTCCTACTCCATCCTATTGAATGCATGGGCAAAGCAAAAATAAAAGCATTAGTTTGATTTTAGGATGTGACTGTCTCCCCAGCCCCCAGGACATGCCGCCGTGAATTTTCACTCTTTTCCATATACATATATATATATATATATATATATATATATATATATATATATATATGGTGTGGCTCATCCCTGTAGCAGATTCATAATGGCTACTGTAATTCAACATAGAAGAATTATCTGAATCGAAGTAATCCTAAAAGAGGTGTAATCTCAATGTATGTAGAAAAGGAAGACTGTGAGAGCTAGCTTCATAATTAATCTTGCAACAGATTATGTGTTAAGTACACTTAATGGGTCCAAAATAATTGCTCTGTCACCCAGCATTGGGCCAAGAGGATAAAATAAACCCATAATATATTTACCTTGTAATTGCACAACACTTACTATGCATCCACCGCACCCTAATATGGTACTTATGTTATCAAATGGGTAATACTAACCACACCAGTAGAGTGAATTTATTTTCAGCAAAGTTAGTGGACCATAAAATAAGGTGCTACCAAATTAAAGAGTGAACAAGGAAATCAAGCTGAACCAGATCAGCAATAGTGCAGTAAACACATAAAAATAATGGGCAAAGAGGATTTCAACCATCACAAAGACTCAAGCTGGAAGGGAAAAGGCATCACCGGCACATTATTAACCAGAACTGCAATTGGGGGGGGGGTGCGCCATGCAGCAGGATGTGACTCAGAGCTCAGTTCCAACTTCAGGATGGTCTGGTAGGGGCTGAGGTAGGGGTTCACTTGTTTATTGCTCTTATCAGGTCTGGGGGGCACAAGGAGGTAGTCATAAACCTGCTACGCTCCTGCCCAGAGCACACTTAACACAACAGGCACATCACAGCAGGACATCAGATACAATGAGGGGACCTCGGATTGAGACCAATCAGCCTTTTCCTCCCTCTGTCCTTGCTCCTTGGGCATTACAGAGTGATGATACCACCATCTGAAAGGGTGCGTCTGGGGAGCCACACACCTGCTCAGAACATGAGCACATACAGAGAAGCAGCCTGGCTGTGCACCTAATGCAGCTGCCCCACTGCTGAGCTGGCAAAGCTCAGACATCTTTAGCATCCCAGGTACAGAAACCCAAAGGACCAAGAGCCAGGAGGATGAGCAGAGCAAAATGCCTGAGCTCCGAATGGAAACCACTGGGCATGAGCACAGTGAGGCAAAACACGGGCAGGGCAAGCTGTCCGCATGCCCCGGATTCCCGTTTTGTCCTTGCTATAGACGTAACCAGAATGCTCATTGTACTTACAGATCCCTCCCCTTGAGGGATCTACACATATGCCTTTACAGCGACACATGAATGTTCCACATAGCTCCACATGCTTCTTCTCCCAGGAAGATGTGCAGGATCAGTTTGACTTAAGAGAATGAAATATTAAATTAGATTTTAAAAAGTGACTAGTTGGGGGCTGGAGAGATGACTCAGAGGTTAAGAGCCATCCTCTAACAGCAATCCTGTAGAACACAAGAGTCTGGTTTCCAGCACCGGACTAATGTAGGGTGGCTCATAACCACCTGTAACTCCAGGGAATCCAGTGCTCACTTCTGACCTCTGTGGCCACCTTTACTCACATGAACAACCCCACCCTTCATACGTACACACAATTGAAAATGAAAATAAATTCTTAAAAAGTGAATAGAGGGTCTCTGGGCTAGGGTGGCAACAGAAGGCAGCGAGACCTTCAGGTATGCATTGCCCATGAGGTTTGCTCTGATGCCTGATGAAGCCAGTAGAGAGGGGCTCCTCTGGAAGGAGGAGGAAGTGGAACTTAGCTCACAGGAATAACCTGGGAATTACAAAGTTCAGCGTGTAATAATTTCATCAATTCCACAAATATTTGCTGAAAGTCAACTGTGTCATGAGTGTGCCCAGATGAATTCACACGGTCCAGTCATTTCTTGCCTAACGCGATGGGGTCCTGGTATTTCAGGTGGCATACACAAGTACTCAAAGCCACTTCTGACATCTTGAGAGTTTTATCCTGACATCCTTGCCCATAGCTTAGATTCTTCTGAAGCTGAACTGCGCATCTTTCTTTGTTCTCTCTTTGTCTTCTGTCTACTTTTTTTGGTTTTTTGTTTTTTTTTTCTTTTTTGGTATTTTTGAGACAGGATCTCCCTCTAGCTCCAGCTGGCCTGGGGCTTGCTTGCTATGTAGACCAGGCTGTCCTTGAACTCACAGAGATCCACCTGCCTCTGCCTCCCGAGTGCTGGGAATAAAGGCCTGCGCCACGGGCTTGCTTGCGTTTTTTATTACTGTTTTCCTCTCTGTCTTCTAATCTTTCTTTCCAAGGGGATAGAGTGGTTTTCGCTATAGATTTCTATACACAAAGCTGAGGGTGAATCTCTTTTGTGTGTGTTCAGGACTGAACTTAGAAGGACCAAAGACTTAGTTTGATGTTTTCTAAGCTGGCTTCCAAGAAGAAGGAGAAAGTCCTGTGTCTGTGTGTTTGTGAACACAGGAATGCTTGCATAGTGCATGCAGAATCACCACATGCAAGTGTGTGCAGTCAACCACACACTCATGCAGAAGGCATGAGTCCACCCATGGAGAAGTGACCACTCCTTTCCAGGGGAGCTACTGGAGTCCCAGGCTTTCATGGCATGGCACAGTCACCTTCCTAGCTTCCCAGCTGCCTCCATGTCACTTTTATGCCAGTGCTCCAGCCCCTCTTTGAACTGTCATCCCACATTCAACTGTGGTTGACTCGTCTGCTGGGAATGTGCTACTAGCAAAAGGCCTTGTACAGTGGTCAGTGTAACACACACCCCTCCAGCTTGCCAAGCATCCAGTTCTTCCCATCTCTACATTCATACCCGTCAGGTGCCAGCTCGAGGTCCCTCTCCCTAGGGTGCATTGCTGTAGTCAACAATGCCAGCTACGGGCTTTAGGCCTTAGAGTTCTTGGGGTTCCTACAATGCATTTTTGATGGTATGTTTTTGATCATTGTCTGAATGGCAGTGAGTTGGTTCGTTCTTTCTAACTGCTTTAAATACCTCAAAAGCAGTATCATCTCTATAATTTCCCACAGAACCTTGCTAATCATGTGCACAACTATTTATTGATTGCTTGCCTGGCCTCAAACTGTGAGGACAGCAATATTAGAAGAACTGGGTCTTCAGGTGATTTTAGATCTCCTGCTGCAAGAATTCTCCTGTTATTTTCATTTTTGCACACAAGCGTTTAGAGCTCTCTGTCCTCTCACATGCACAGTGCTGCTGATTTGCTGGCTCAAGGGGATTCTGAACAAAAGCCTTTCTGTGTCATAAGCAGGGCTTTGCACTTCTTTGTGCTACTGTGGTCTTTCCTGTTCTCTTCATCCCCAGTTTGCTCTGCTCAAGAGTCACAAAACCTTTAGGCAGAGCATGGAAGGTTCCAGCATGTCTGAGAAAAAAAAAATGTCATGTATAATCTACAGCGACATACAAAGTGAAAACAACCAAAAAAAACCAATGAAGGAACCTGTTGCTTCCAAGTGCAGAAGGAAGCAGAGGAATGTACGGTGTGCACAGCACCATGGAGAGACGTCCAAAGTGAACCAGGGAGAGGGGAACTAGGACCCTGGAGGGGAGATGCCAGGATTCACTTGTCCTGGAAGAGGCAGCCTGGAAGGCAACCTCTCGGTGATGGGAATACAAAGGGGTTGTTATAGGAAGAGACTAGACCCACAGAAGACACTCAATGGCTGTCCGTTTTGGAGAAAACTAGCAACTAACTCTTCTGCATCGAAAGGAGGACATGGCCTTTTATTATAGCAACTGGGGCTCTGATTAGATACTAAAATGACCTTTTCTACAATGAAAGTTGTTAAAAAAAAAAAAACTCAACCGTATTTCTGAGGGAGATTGTGAATTCTCCTTTCAGAAAGTCTCTAAAAACCAGCAGGACTTTATAACAGACTGCAATTATTTTATTTTAGTTTTTGGTCAGAGCTGGCTGAGGAGTAAGTGACCTTTCAAAGCCCCTTTGTATTAACACGTTTGATAGCTTTATGAATGACAGCCCTCTCTAGTCATTTATGGTAACCAGTGTCCCTGAGGAGTCAAGCCACGGCTGTTGACTTGATTTGCTGTTCTCTTTTCCAGACTCCCAGGTGAAAAGCATGTTAATTCCTCTTGATAATGGAACATTAACTCAATTCCCATGCTATGAATTTAACATATATCCCCTTTAGTATATACCAGACTGGAATCTGTTTTGCAGGGTTCAAGCAACAGAGACTTAACAATGGAGGGTGGTGAGCGCCTTTCTAAAGGGGATCTTCTGCTTTGTCTCCTGTTAGGTACCCTAGAATCACCACTGCTTCCACTGTAGAAAATAAGGCAGAAAAAAGTGGATTTGTAATGTAAGAGTCGGTGAACTGCTGAGGAATCCACATAAGAAAGAGTCATAAAGAATAGCCAGGGAGAAGCAAAATGAATGGGAGTTTGAAGGGCCAGTTGCTAAGCTATAATTCCCCAGACAGCCAACCAAAGTCAGCTGAGGAAGCAGGGCACACAGACCACCAGAACGCTTCTCAAGTTCCTGGTAGGGCAGTTTATTCTTGTGTCAGTAAGAAGCACTAAGAATCTTCTTCAACTCACTGGAAAATAGATTTTAAATGGTCAGATATGCTCAACAATGGTAATCAATTCCTGTTACATTTGTTATACTTGGAACCTTTTTAAAAAATATTTCATTTATTATTTTTATTTTACGTGTATGAATGTATTGCCTGCATGTAGGTAAGTGCACCCATGTCGTGCAATGCCCGTGGAGGACAGAAGAGGCTGTCGGATCCCCTGGAACTGGAGTTAAGGACAGATGTTAGCTGCCATGTGGGTGCTGGGACTCAAACCCGGATCTTCTGCAAGAACAGCCAGTGTTCTTAACTGCTGAGCCATCTCTCCAGCCCCATAATCCTTGGAACCTTCTGACTTGTTAACCACCAATCAGTGTCTC